TAAGAGTTGAAAAAGAAAAAGAAAAAAATGACCTCTCTTTGCAAATGACATGATAGTACACTTGTTAAGTTCCAGACAATCAATGCTAAAACTAAAATAACAAAATAATTCAGTAAGATAGCAGGATACTAAATTAATATGAAAAACAACAGCCTTAACTTACACAAATAATAACCAGTTAGAAGAGCTCATGAAAGAGAAAAATCTCATTGATAATTGTAATAAAAAAGATAAAAATACTTAGAAATAAATTTAACAATAAATGTTCAAAACCTATGTGAAGGAAACTATAAATATTCCTGACACAAAACTTGATTTGAACAAATTGAAAGATATCCTTTCTCAGTTATGATGTGTCAACATTACCTATATATCAGTTCTCCTTTAAGTTAATTTATGAATATAGTGCAATCCCAGTTTTAAAAATACCCAAAAGTTTTTTTTAGAGCTAGGTAAGTTGATACTAAAGTTTACATGAAAAAACAGACACTTAAGAATATCTAGGATATTACTAAAAAGAGCTATTCGAGAGGGGGTGGATAAGCATAGCAAGATACAATTTAAATAGTGTAGTACTGGTATGTGAATAGACAGAAAGACCAATTGAATAAAATAGAAAACCTAGGCTCATGTGTACATTTAATATACTATAAAAGTGATATTGCAAACCACTGGAGCAAAGATGGACTGTTTAATAAATCATGTTGGAGAAAAATATGGAAATTAATTTTTTATACCATATATACGTATAAACTCCAAATTGATCAGAGATCTAGCAGAAAGTTTGAATGAATTCCTCTTTACCCTGTGTTATGCTTTGTGGCTATGACTTAAAGTCCATGTGCAATAAAGGAATGATGAGTTTTACCCCCATAAAAATAAAAAACTTTTACACGAAAAAAAAACCCCAAGCAGAGTAAAAAAAAAAAAGACATAAATCAGGAGAAAATATTGCAAGAAATATGCCACATATAGGGCTAATATCCCTAATATATAAAGACATTTTTTAATTGAGTAAAAAAAAAGATTTAAAAGTTCCAATAGAACATGGGCCAATGACAGACAATCCACAAAAAAGATACAAAAATTGTCCCCACTCAACTTAAGAGAAGTATACATTAAAACTACACTGACATACCATTTCTCATTCATTACATTGGCAACAGTTCAGGTAAACTGACACTATCATATATTGCTGGTGGGAATGCAAAATGATACAACCTCTGTGGAAGACAATTTGACAATATGTAGTACATATGGATTTACCCTTTGACCTAGCAATCCTATCTTTAAAGATAGACTTCCTAAAATATAAAAACAGAAGGTTATTTATTGTAGCATTATTTATGATTGCATAATATTGGTTGCTACCTAAACATCCAAGCATCAGATTTTAAGTGAATAAACTATGGTACATCCACACCATGGAGTGCTATTCAGTTGTAAAAAAAGAATGAAGAAGATCTCAATAAGTTGATGCAAAGTGATCTCCAGAAGATATTGTTAACTGAAAAAACCAAAATGCAAAACAGCATATGTGGTATGTTCACTTTGGAGGAAGAAAAGAGGAGTAAGAAAACATATATATCTACTTATTTTTGCAAAAAGAAACATAGGAAGGATACATCAGAAACAATAAAATTGTATACATAAAAAAAGGTGGCAGGAAAAAGTGTTCAAGAGATAGGGAAGAGAGACTTCCCTGGTGGTGCAGTGTTTGAGAATCCACCTTCTAATGCAGGGGACACGGGTTTGATCCCTGGTCTGGGAAGATCCCACATGCCGCGGAGCAACTAAGCCTGTGGGCCACAGCTACTGGGCCTGCGCTCTAGAGCCTGCGTGCCACGACTACTGAGCCCGCCCGCCTAGAGTCTGTGCTCCGCAACAAACAGCAGCACCCGCTCGCCGCAACTAGAGAAAGCCTGCGCCACAACTAGAGAAAGTCTGCGCTGCAACGAAGACCTACTGCAGCCAAACATAAATAAATAAAAAATAAATCAATTTAAAAAAAAGAGAGGGAGGAGAGTGATATTCCTCTGAATATATCTTTTTGTATGGTTTATACTTTGGCAAGCATATTATTCTACATATTCCAAAAGTAAAATGGAATTATCAATAATGGAAGGAAAAATAAACTAAAACTGGAAATAGAAACAAATGAACTCAAGTGTATTTCAAATGACTAACTTAAAACCACTGAAGAGGGATAGGGTAGGGCGAGAGAAGAAATCCAAGTCATTTTTGCACCTAGTACTTTGATTTTCAACCCTCAGTCTGGGGAAGAAAAACTACCTTTTTAGTAGACTTGCTTATGTAATTATGTGAATGTATAAATTCTGAAACTGTTTTATGGGTAATTATGTGAATGTAGCAATTCTGAAACTATTTTATGCAGGATTAGGCAAATAAGTAAATGTGCTGTGAGGAAACAAGGTTCTCACTATTGAAGAAGGCAGACACAAATATGAAATGGGGAAGGCAACAAAGAACACTGTGGAATTCGATTGGAATTGTAAGTATCAACATTCATGATTTCTTAAATGAAAAAAAAAATCTATTCCCCTCTCCCTCACCTCTGTCTACTGAGATGACCTGAAAGCAATAATACCCCACTATCAATAAGCACTCTTAGTGCCAAGGTCTTAGCTTCTAAATACCATTCTCCAAGAAAAAAACAAAAGATACCAAGACTTTTGGAGAAATTGTTGATTCTAGGGTAGGAGTAATGAATGTACAGGACAAGCCTGGAAAATCTTGTTGTGCCACATGATAAGGGAGTGTTCAATGTGTAGGTCAAAAGGAGCCAACCTGAAGCTAGCCAAATCTCAGATAATTTGAGCATCAAAATAAATAAGGGTGGGAGAGAAGAGGCAAATCTCCCATGCAGAAGAATTCCAAACAAATTATGTAAATACCCTAATGAAGGGAGAGCACTACAGAAATGTGTGCTGGGCACAGCGACTTCCTTCCAAGGAGTACAGAATGGAAGGGGGGCGGGGGGGAAGAGTAACTTTACAGTGGAAAAACCTGATAAACACGACTTTAATGATCAAGTGCAACATAAACAATCATAAATTATGTTGGTAGTATGTACACTTGTTACAATGTGATGAAAATGACATTTTACCTCTGCGGTCTTCCCCTCAAAACCCCATAACCCCAGTCTAATCATGAGAAAAGCATATATAAATTCCAACAGAAGAGCATCCCACATGGTACCTGACCAGTTTTCCTCAAAATTGCCAAAGTCATCAAAACCAAGTAGAGTCTGAGGAACTATCACAGCCAAGAGGAGCCTAAGGAGAAATGACAACTCCATATAATATTGTATCCTGGATGGAATCCTGGAACAGAAAGGACATTAGGTAAAAAGTAAGGAAATCTGAAAAACTATGGACTGTACATAATATTACTGCATCAATATTGGTTCATTAATTGTAACAATGTACCATAATACTGTAAGAGGTTAATAATAGGGGAAACTGTATGTGGGGTGAGGGGGATACATGGGAACTCTGTACTATCTACTCAATTTTTCTCTGAACCTAAAACTGTGTTTAAAATAGTCTATTAATAAACAAACAAATAAATAAGAACAGCAATGGATTATAATGCCTTGAACAAAAAAGAATTCATAAATTCATACTGATAGTAAATAAGTAAGGAGGGCTTTACTTTAGAGTAGCATCAGGACTAATAAATGGGGAGGGCTTGAAGGAGCTAGGGGGAAAAAAATCAACATTTTGTAACTATCATTGCAAAGATCAATTGCAGTAAGGATCATCAATGGAGGCAAAACCTTAGAGTTTGATTGGGAACAAGACAGCTTGGCCTCAAGGTATCTTTTAACAGATTGCTTATGAGTTGCAAGGGGGAAAACAAACAGCAGAGAAACTGGACAACACCTTGATCCGGTGATAAAAATCAATATCACCTTATAATGGACAGACAGACATCCTGTGCCTCCGGATGTAATATCCTGAGGAAGGACACAATTTCACTTATGTGGTTTCCACCGATGATGCATAATTTGAATCTAATCACAAGGAAAGATCAAATAAAGGTCGATGAGAGAAATTGTATTTGAGGACGAGTCTTTCACTGTAAGGGGGTGGATTGCTTTTGGTGAGCCCTCTTGGTCGTAAGGCTGTTAAGTAATCAAATGTAAATATTCCTGACTGTGGTTTTAACTATTATACTTATAAATTAAAACGCTATCGCAACGGGTTTATTTAAATACATATGAAGAGATTAGCAGTTTCCCTTTCAGGGACAGGAAAGAACGCATGTGAAGGAGCGGGTCTAGAGAGAGTGGGAAGGTGGTGGGAAGAGGGAAGGGACCCTCAACTGAGGATTGCCAGTTGTTCGGTTTATAGTTATTTGTCATTTAACAAACACTTACAAAGCACTTATTTTTACCAATCGCTGTTCTATAGAAGAGCTTTTCACAAATCGACCTTTTTAATGGGAAAGCTCAGTAAACGGTCTTTACTTCCTTAAACAAAACAAAAGACAGCTGTGTCAAGAAGTGATTTTTCTCATAAGTACTCTTCTCTGTCATCAAGGCTCTGCTGCAGCGATTCTCTTCTTCGATAGAAAAACCTGAGCCTGCAATTACTGACTGGCATTTCATAGAAACGTCGGCAACCCTAGTTGACGAGACCAAATGTTAAATGCCCTTTAAAAATACTTTAAAACATGCACTGAGAGCAGCTTATGTCTCTATTTGCGGAGCCAGGCACTCACAGTCTCTCTTCCTTCAGGGGTGGCCCTAAAGAGCAGGTCGCCACCTTTCTTAGCCGAAGTTGCTATTTCTAAACAACCTCCCGGCGCCAATCTAAGAACTAGTTCCGGTCTACGTTCGTGGTCCTTAGCGCTTGTGTCAAGCAATGGATTCTGGGAGAGGCTGAAGTTTCCAGGCCGGGTGTGAACGCCGGACTTCAATTCCCACAATGCCTGGCGAGAATCCGTAATTCCTGCCGGGGCAACCGTGAGGTGGCCGCCATCTTGCGTACGGAGGGCAGGGTTGTAGCTCCGCTCCTGAGGCTCGGGCTTTTAGTCCCTCCCGGTCTCTGCTTTGGGCCGTGTCTCCGTGCTCCTTTCACCTTCTTTATTGAGAGGTAAAGGTCAATGCAGAACTGTGTTATAAGGTGAGTAGACATCCCATTTTCGGCGAGGTGGGATTGTGGTGTTGACGTTTTCCGGTTTCTTCCTTCTTCCATTAGCGACTTGGGTTCTCCCCTGCGCTTGCCTGAACCTTTTCGTTTAGCCGTAAACGTAGAAGCCGGGAGTAAACCTTTCGGCCTCGGAGCTCTTTGGAATTCCTAGACAGAACCTGAACGTGTCTCCGTTGAGATAGAGAAATTGGGTGACGCGCTTTTGCCCGGGCTACCCTCTTTGGAGATCAGGAGGCCTTAGGGTTCAGGTCGTGTATAGGCCTCTCTCTCTTAATGCAACCTCCTTTCTCTTCCTTGGGACTTTTCTGCCGTTTCTAATGAGGAAATGAGAAGGTGAGAAGCGGCCTGCGAAGGGGCTGTTTCCGGGAGGACGGCGTTCTCTACAGGTGTATCTTCTTTCAGCCTCTCTAGGGCCTACCTGTGTCATTCTGGTTCGTCGCTTTGCCCTTTCCTTTTGCTCTCGTGTTCGAGAAGGGGAGACCAGAGAGCGTGCGGAATGAAGTATCGACTAACAGGCTTTTGAATTGTACTCTTGAGGGTCCCCCCATAAATTTCAAGGGAAGCAGAATTTATCGTCGAGATAGACAAACCATCTGGAAAAGATGAGGGCTTTGGTTTGGGAAGTTGCCAGATTTAGTTTTTAAACATAATATGACATATTTCCGTCATTCGCAGTACAACTGAAGTTATTATTTTTTTCTTTAAAATTAACGTAATACGCCCACTTGGAAACCGCTTTTACACTACTCGTAAGAGTAGGGCCCGTAAAGACTGACATTGAAGTTAATTTGACATTTGATTGCTAATGAGATGTGGTTGTCTGAGGTTTGCTAAGGACCTAGTGATTTTAAACAGGAAGACGTTTATGATGCAATTTATCACAACCAGTTTGGATATGTGTCACTTTGGTTGGCAGACTTACTCTCTCTTTTATTTTTTGAATTTATTTTTTATTATAAATTATTTATGTTTGGCTGCGTTGGGTCTTTGTTGCTGCGCTAGGGCTTTCTCTAGTTGTGGCGAGTGGGGGCTACTCTTCGTTGCGGTGCGCGGGCTTCTCATTGCGGTGGCTTCTCTTGTTGCGGAGCACGGGCTCTAGGCGCACGGGCTTTAGTAGTTGTGGCGCAGGGGCTTATGGCGCAGGGGCTTCGTTGCTCAGCGGCATGTGGGATCTTCCCGGACCAGGGTTCGAACCCGTGTCCCCTGCATTGGCAGGTGGATTCTTAACCACTGCGCCACCAGGGAAGTCTTTACTCTCCCTTTTAAATACACAGCTGTATGTCTGTATCATCAAAATATATATTAGTGATTCAGCTTTCCGAGCTTGCTTAAATTCTTGCTTACATCCTCTAAATTCAGAAATACATCATTTAGATTTAAAGATGAGATACATCTTTTTTTAAAAAAGGATGTTTGTTTACCTTCAATGAGACCCCTCCTTTAAATCATAATGTCATACCAATAGTAAGTGGCTATAAAGTTACAATTTTATAATTTTTGCATTTTGGGAAAATGTTATTAAATGCTTAAATCAAATTAAGTTTACTTCCTGTTGTTTCTGAGGAAACTTTTGTTTAGATTTTTTTTAATATTAGCTGTTAATTCTATGATTTATTTGCTCCTCAGATGCCTTATGGTGAAATTGAAGCTAAATCCATGGGACATGGGGAAGAACTAATAAATGAACCACGCTATAAGAAATTGAAGTCTACTGAAGAGGCATATGTTTTCCCCCATCATGGTAATGCTAATTTTCACAGAAAGCAAAAGAAAACTGGAAATGATTGGGTCCCTGTGACCATCACTGATGTCAGAGGACGTAGTTATCCTCAGGAGGACAAAACCAAAACTAGAAGTTTGCTGAAACCTGTGCATGATGAGATGCTTGGTAATAGACGAGATGTTATTAATTCTGTTGATTCACAAGCTTTACAGGATACACGTCTTCCATTGGTATCCACAGATGATGAGATATATAGCACAAGTAAAGCATTTATAGGACCCATTTACAAACCCCCTGAGAAAAAGAAATGTAATGAAAGGAGGAATCGAGCAGACACTATCAGTGGTATAGATGGGAAAGGAGAACGAAAAGAGAAACAGAAATTTAATTATAAAAAATCAGAGATTGACAATGAATTATTCCAGTTTTACAAAGAAATTGAAGAGCTTGAAAATGAAAAAGGTGATTCAGAAAGCAGTTGTAAGGAACGTGAACCCTCTGAGGAACAATTCATTCCATATTATCAGGGCCATAATAATCTGTTAAAATCTGAAGAAGAAAAGAAAAGAGATCTTACCAGTGCCCTTCAGTCATATTGGGGTTATCAGCAGTGCGTGGGGAATGAGCCAGGTAAATATCCTTATAATCGACAAGTAATACCTACCTTTTGTGACAGTTCATTTGCTTCCTTCAGGCCTGAGTGGCAATCAGTGCATTCTTTTATAGTACCACAAGACCCTCATCTTTCCAGTTTTAACTATCACTTAAATATTCAAGGATTCAACGTTCCACCAAATCCATCACCAAATATTTTCCATGCCCAAGATGGCTTTCAGATGCAAAATGGATATTATGTAAATAGTTGTCATGTTAACTGGAATTGTTTGACTTTTGATCAGAACAATGGATATACTGACTGTAGTGACATTACCAGTAGTGACCATCCCTCTAGAAATGGCTACACTGTGCAAGATGAATATGCGAATAATGGTTTCTGTGAAACCAGTGAAGGATGCTGGAAAGCTCCTTCTGTGGACAAGCATAATCGAACTGACAGGTTTATGAACCAGCATTTTCAAGAGGAAAAGTTAAATAAATTGCAGAAGTTACTTATTCTTTTAAGAGGTTTGCCTGGTTCTGGGAAAACAACATTGTCTCGGTAAGTAAAGGATACCAAGTGAATACTTGGTAATTTATTACTTAAAAATCATAAATGATAGTTGTAATCAGTGGCAAATGCTTTTATGTTTCTAGTAAAAAAATCTTTAATTTGTTATACTTGAAAATGGCATCTGATGGTAAATATTTTAAAAGATGTTTTCTGATAGAGGAAAGGAGAATTGGCATATATATTTATGTTAAGATTCTGCTAAGGGCTTTAAATATAGATTCACCATGTAAAAGGACGGTGACGAAAGCAAATGCTATTTGAGAACTGTGCTGGCCTTCCCTTTTTAGTCAGCTATTCAGGAGGAGTTGAATTCATGGGTTGAAGACTTGGGCTTTGACTCAGTTATTTCACTTTGTGACCTTGGACAAGTTTCGCTGTTAATATAATGAGTAATACTTATTTTTCTGGAATTATTGTGAGAAGCAAATGAGATAACCCAAGGAAGGGAATTTTGAGTGTGTTTTAAGAACTGTGCTGTGTTCATACCATTATTGACAAAGAGAACCTTTTTTTGATTTCTTTAAGGAGTTTGAAATGAGCAATATCTGAATTAATGGAATTAGAACTGATGATGTTTTATCATGTGCCGAAATGTTTAAAATTCCTGTTTTTGTTTACATTTTAAAAACAGAATATTGATGCATTCCAGTACATTTGTGCAGTTGTGAAAAATAGCACAAAGAAAAACAATACAAATTCTTTGTAGTTTATGTAGGATGATTCAAGATTTATGCTAGATAAGGAGAAAAAGGAAATTTATTTGATGTCTTTGGGTGAGGATAAAAAAGTCAAAGGAAAAAGAAAACAAAGTCCAAGGAACCATTTTGTAAATGTTTTATATTTATTTGTAAGACACTCTGAATCACCTAAACAAAACTTCTTCAGAAGCAGGAAATCGGAGAAAGATTAAATTATGATGCAGACATTTCAAGCTAGATTGTAAGCTGTGATTTTGTAAATGAATTTGAATTTAAGTCTATGTATTTTGATTCCTTTGCAGTGAAGATTTTGTAGAGAAAATTTCAGTGCTTCTTTAGAAAGAATAGAAATTAAGAGTGAAGTTGTCTTACAAGCATGGGCATTCTTCTAGATTTAGAATATAATATCAGAGAAAAGAAAAGTTGAAATTTGGAAATTGGATGAAGAGATCTCCTAGCAAGGGCTTCTGGTACAGAATAAATGTAAGAAAGAATGATTAGGTTTGGAACAACATATTGGAGTATGTTGAAACTAAAAGTGAATAAAGTGTGGTGGTAGTTCAGTAAAATTTTAAGGAGACATAATTGTAGTGCGAAATGACAGAGGTGATTATATATAATATGTATCTTTATTTGAGGAATTAGGTTTAATAAGAATGGAAGTTGTAGTCGCAACTACCATTTATGTTATCATTTACAACTTAGTACTTCCATATGTAACAGTGTTGTGAGATGAATTATAGTCTTTTCATTTTTTAGAAGGAGTACAGGCTAATAAAAAGAATGAGTTCAGGTTAAAGGACTTGGGAGAAGTTACAAAAACTGCTAAGAGATCAAACTGGGGATGTAAATGGTAGTGTGTTTCTTATCTAATCCTTCAGTTTAATATCTATCACATGTGTAGCCGTATATCTGACTCCTGACTTTGAGTAGCTTGGTTAAAGAAGCAGGAGTCTCTCTTTAGGTCAGTACTTTTTTTGAATGAAGTAGAAATGGTTGTTTGGGATTGGTTATAAAGCCACATATTCTCTAGTTAGGAATGGTTTCATGTAGGATTTAGCTTTCCAAATGAGCTTTGAAAAAAGGAATAAAGATTGGGAGAATCAGAGTTGAACTGATTTGGGGCGTTAAAAGATAACGTTGTTTAGTATTGCTATGTGATAATGAGTTATAGGGGGTTAGATAAATTTCAAATTCTGGGATAGTATTTAAGTCCCTTTCTTCCTTAATTTAGTCCTTACCTATCTTCATATCCTTCTGCGCTTGGACTAGTACCCTGCGGTCCATTGCAGGAGACGTGATACTTGTCCGTTCATTGTTCTCAGGATTCTACTTATTCAGAGGTTCTCTTAAATGCCTCCACTTTTGATGTTTTGGTTTCTCATCTCACCCCTCAGTTATCCTCCTTCTGAACTCATGTAGGATTTGCCTTTACCACTCTTTGCATGTAGCATAAGCTACACAAGACAGCATTATTTTTTTATTTATTGATAGCTGGACCAGGGTGGTATGCAAGGCCACTCAGTACGTCAGGAGGTAAAGGGTTCATGAAGTGTCAGTTTTACTCAGAATTATTTGGGAAAATCACTTCTTTTTTTTTCCTTTAATTTATTTATTTTTGGCTGCTTTGGGGCTTTGTTGCACGTGGGCTTTTCTCTAGTTGGCGGCGAGTGGGGGCTACTCTTCGTTGCGGTGTGCGGGCTTCTCATTGTCGTGGCTTCTCTGGTTGCAGAGCATGGGCTCTAGGCACGCGGGCTTCAGTAGTTGTGGCATGCAGGCTCAGTAGTTCTGGCTTGCGGGCTCTAGAGCACAGGCTCAGTAGTTGTGGTGCACAGGCTTAGCTGCTCAGTGGCATGTGGGATATTCCCAGACCAGGGCTTGAACCCGTGTCTCCTGCATTGGCAGGCAGATTCTTAACCACTGCACCACCAGGGAAGCCAATCACTTCTATTTTTAAATGTACATGATATATTACAAAAATGTATATGGTTCTTAGAAATTAAAAAAAATAAAATATGAAAATTAACTGTAGTAGACCATTTGGGGGAATAGGGTTCTCAAAATGAGGTTTAAAGAATACGATTCACTTGTTCTTACTTAAGTGAAAGTTATAAGCACAGAGTGCATTAGTTTTCTATGGCTGTGTAACAAATTACCCTAAAGCTGAGTTGTTAAAGCAACAGACATTTATTGTCTCACAGTTTCTGAAGGACAGGAATCTGGGTGCCTCTGGTTCAAGGTCTCTAACAATGCTATGATCAAGATGTTGGCTAGGGCTGTGTTTTGGACTGAAAGCTTGTCTTGGGGAGGATCTGCATGGAATATCTCTCACAAGTCTTTTTTTTTTTTAGATGTTGGGGGTAGGAGTTTAATAATTTATTTATTTTTGGCTGTGTTGGGTCTTCATTTCTGTGCGAGGGCTTTCTCTAGTTGTGGCAAGCGGGGGCCACTCTTCATCGCCGTGCGCAGGCCTCTCACTGTCGCGGCCTCGCAGCCTCTCTTGTTGCGGAGCACAGGCTCCAGACGCGCAGGCTCAGTAATTGTGGCTCATGGGCCTAGTTGCTCCGCAGCATGTGGGACCTTCTCAGACCAGGGCTCGAACCCGTGTCCCCTGCATTGGCAGGCAGATTCTCAATCACTGCGCCACCAGGGAAGCCCTCTCACAAGTCTTGTTGACAAGACTCAGTTCCTTGTGAGCTGTTGGATTGAGGGCCTCATTTCCTTGCTGTCTGTAGGCTGGAGAGTCCCTTCAGTTCTTTGCTACTTGGACCTCTCCCCATTCACAATGTGAAGAGGGAAAATGAGCCACTTCCTGCCCCCCCATAATCTAATCTTGGAAAGGAAATTCCGTATCCTGTTAGTTGGAAGCTAGTTGCTGATTCAAACCCACACACAAGGAGAGGGGATTATATAAGGGCGTGAATTCCAGGAGGCAGGGATCTTGTAAGCCATTGGTTTTGGCTCTCCCACCACTATTTATGTAATTCTGGTGGCCTGATTTCTGAAATTATTTTCTTTTCTGGATTTAATACCATATTGGCAAGGTTGTTGTGAGAATTCGATGCAGTCATAGATGTATATATATATAAGATGCTTGGCACATACTAGGTCCTCAAAAAAGACAGCGATTTTGAAAAAATACAAATCAAGTGGCCAGTGGGACCACATCTGAATTTTTTATTAGACACTTGATTTTTCAAAGTTGTAAATTTTGATGTTCTGAGAATCCATTTTAGTACCTGTCTTAACTTGTGAGGGTTCTGATAGAATCTGACTATAAGAATTTTGAAAATACTAATATTCTTAAATAATTTATTTTTGGTTCAAATGGGTGGTATGACATCAGATATATCTAGATTGATACAGGTATTTTGGAGATAATTCAGGGAATTTTGAAAAGATGTGTGAGCAGTCTGGGAGGAAAAAAATTCTCCAAGCTAAAATTACTTGCTTTAATCATGATTTATATATTTAAGATATTCTTCATTGAGATTTACTCATGTTTGATGTTGACTTGGTTTAATGATGTAAATTGATTTACTGTCCCTTCCCTCCCCACTTTTTTTTTTTTATTTGGAAGAGGTTAAACATTTCTTGGATACAAAAGCTCCTGTGCTCTTGTAGTATGTTATTATTAACATCTGACAGATCACCTAAAAAAGTAATAGAACAGGAGAAAAAAGAAAAGAAACATAAGGTATTTAGGAAAGATGGTATCAGGTTTCTGGTATTGTTGAGTGTAACTAGGTATCATATGGTTGATGATAATCAAGATCTTTTCAGGTGATTGAGCTTTGGTTTGGAATACTAATATTATGGCATTTTTATATTCTGGGTTATCTCTTATAAGCAAATAAGATGCCAAATGTGTTAGATGGTATATTTTGGGAAAATTGTGGCTGCTTAAAAAAGAAATCCAACTCCAGCCTCCCAAACAAGCAAACAAATAATTTAAACCATTTACTTTAATTTGGTTTGTTTGAAGTAATTTTAACTATAATTCTATGAGTGAAAATATATATTAAATTTTTAAACTTTTATATATGTGTTTTTATTTTTATTATAAAATATATACGATTTTATTATAACCTGAGGAAAGGAGAGATGTTTGTTATCTTAATAGTTGAAATCCTTCCTATTACCTTTTATTAGGAAGTATTCTTGGATCATCCCAGGACAGTATCATCCCTTCTACCACCTTCTACTCCCTTCCCCCTCTCAAAAAGAAATTATATTGGGCTGGCCAAAAAGTTCGTTTGGATTTTTTCCATAACATCTTACAACATCTTATGGAAAAACCCCAACAAACTTTTTGGCCAGCCCCAATAGAATGATATCCAATTGCCTAATGGTTGAGGGAGGGGAGATAAATAACAAAATATTTTTGTTATTGTTGGACCTAAATTATTCTTACTGTCTTTTCCCTTTTCTCAGCACACCTCCAGTCTCTTTCATGAGTCACTGGTTATGGGAACACTCTGAACACTTGTCAGTCTCTCTGTGCTTAGAAATTAAAGATGGTATCATATTGTGAGAACAAAGCTTGATTACCACTGACTTGTTCTGAGAGTGTATTCTTTAGCATTTATTAATTAATTTCACTTATTAATTTAATCTGTTAAAAATTTTAAATTTGATTTTACTCTGGAGGATCATAGGTTGTTTCACAGCATTAAACCTCAAGTTCCACTTTCAGGTCATAGATGTTTGTGCTTCATAGGAATGAGTTTATCAAAGCTGTCTTCAGTCAAATATAGTTTTCCTCAGGTAAATTGCTTGCTTAGGCTTACTTGTCTTTTTAGGTTACCTGTTGCACTAAATTTAGACAATTTTAGACACCAAATACAAATTCACTAAAGTTAAATCATGGATAATAGTTGACATCATTTTGGGATTGAAGAGTGTTTTTAAAAGTTGCAATACAAAAGCCACTTTAAAAAATTTTTATTACTGGCTATTACTATGTAGATTTAAGTGTGAAGTGATGTTTGAAATCTGAAAGCTTTTTTAAGGTTCAGCCCCTGTGCTAGTCTATCTGCAGTATACTTATAAGTATGTGCCAGAAATTCATTTAATAACTTTTCCTTTGTGGCTTATTTCTGACGGTTATAGATTTTATATTGTAAATGGCACCTTTATGATTTCTTTTATTAACAGAATTCTGCTTGGTCAGAGTCGTGATGGCATTGTGTTCAGCACTGATGACTATTTCCACCATCAAGATGGGTACAGGTATAATGTTAATCAACTTGGTGATGCCCATGACTGGAATCAGAACAGAGGTTTGTTTTGGGCCAAGTCTCCCGGGATAGAATATTTGACTAGGAGTCAGAATACCTGAATTTTTATTCTCAACTTTTTACTTTTACCAGCTGGATGACTTTGACAAGCCATTGAAAGAGCTTTGAGACCCAGTTTTTCATCTATTAGAAGCAGTGATAATTATACTTGCCCTACTTGATTGAGGTTGTGAAAATCAGAGAATGTGGTTAGAATATCTTTTTAACTGTAAATAGTGTATATAAACTGGTACAATAGAGGTATAGGATATTTTGATAGACTTTATTTTATACCTCATGAAAAAATTCAGAAAACTCTTGATACTTTTGTTACGTATTCCCAAAAGTTATTTCCTTGAGTAATGCTAATGTTTTCTAAGGCTTAATATTAATGCCCATGAATATTAAAAGTTTTTTTCATTGATATCACTTTACTTAATACATTTTTTAGAGGTATATGGATCACTTTATTTTCATTTTGGAATAGTAGTTCTTTCTTAACCTTGGCTGCACATTTGAATCACTTGGGGATCTTTTAAAAAAAGTTATGCCTGAGTCTTAGCCTCAGAGATTCTGGTTTAGTTGATTTGGAGTGCATCTAAACATCGGTATTTTTTTGAAAGTTATCCATATATTCTAATGTTGCAGTCAGGATTGAAAACTATTGATCTAGAACTATGTAAGTACATGCTTATGCTATAATCTATAATTTCTTTTTTAAAAGAAATTAAAAATGCATTGATGATGAAACATTATTTAAACCTAGAGAGATTATATTGAAGCCCACACACGCATCACTCAGAATTATTATCACTTATCAAGATATTGCTATATTTGTTTCAACCCTTTTGCTTTCGCTCCACCCTCCTTTTTTAATTTGCTGAAGTATTTTTTTAAAGCAAATTCTAGACATCATACTTCACACATTTCAAGTAAATCTTCTTACTTAATTGCAGTGCCATTATCACACCTAAAAAACAAAACAAAACCCAATTTCTTGACATCATGTAATATAGTCTGTAATCAGATCTCCCCTGTTGTCTTAAATATTTCTTTACAGTTGTTTTAATCAGGATCTAAACAAGGTCTTTGTAGTACATTTGGCTTTATGATTCTTTTAATTAAGTTAATCTATAGCAGTTTTCCCTCTTTTTGCCCTCCTACCATTAACTTATTGCAGAAACTTGGTTGGTGGTTCTGTAGAGTGTCCCATAGCCTATGGTTGTCGGTTTGCTTCCTTGTGGTAATCATTTAACTTGTAGGATTTATTAGGTTCAACCTTTTTTTTTTTTGTAAGTAAATGGTTGTCCCATTTTTAGTGATGGTGAGATCAGTAGCTTCAAAGGGACAGCCTAATCCCTGTTTTATTCAACAATGAATTGTTTCCTTAATCAGTTATTTCATTAAAGTTTGCAAAATGGTGATTTTCTAGGACTTTCATTCTTTCTGTGTTTAGTAGCTAGAATTCTTCTGTAATGAAGAACTTCCTCTTGCCTAGAACTAGCAACTAAGGTTACCCTAAAGTACAGTATATACAGGAAAAACAGGATAAATGCTTTTCTTTTTTAATTGTCAATTTTCAGAGTAAGGAATTTCATTGAGGATGCTTTTGAGTTAAAAGTTTAAATGTCAGATAAGTTTGATTATAAGATTATTTCCTAGTATTGGTTCTAGGATTTCTTCAAATAGAGAGTAGCATAAATTTAAACAGAGTAGCATAATATTTTAAAATATTAATTCTTTTTGATTTTTTAAAATGCTGCAGCGTTACTGCCCAAATCCAATAATGATGATGTTACAGTTCCAAAAAGTGCTTGGAGTTATTGGCCCAGAGTTAAGGGGAGTAGAAGTAGGTGATTAAGTGGAATGAGCCAGTATACCTTTGGTGAACTGGGAAGTTTGTTTCTGTGAAACATTTTTTTCTTTTTGCAATACTAGTTTAGAATATTTCATTAAAATGTTCGTGCCATGTGAATTCTACTTGCTGAACATATTGGTGGGTAGATAAACTACTGGTTTTATTAGTATAATAAATAGGGGCTTTTTCAAGGTAATTTTTAACCTTTTTCAAAGCAATGATAACTAGCAGTCATTAGATATTTTGAAAATTATGAGCATTACATTTAATTTAGGGCAAAATTTCTCTTTTCTACAAATATTTATTGAATACTTTTAAGTGCCGGGCATTATTCAGGGAATATGTATCTGACTCATGTTTATTAGAAGAATCTAAATTGATCTTTAACTGCTTATAAGTTAAAAATATCTCCAAGGTGTCATTTTTCTCTTTCTTAGAGTATGGTGGTTAATTTGTTTAAGAAAATGACTCTCTTTATTTGAGTAGTCAAACATTGTTTACTTAGGTGCTCTATTCTCCTGGAGTGCACTGGAATGTGGTATTGGGTGTTGATTATTCATGGAAAGAGAATAATCTCCCCATTCCTGCAAATCAGAGATTTATTTGGTTAATAAGCTCCTCTTGTAGATAAGCTCCTCTTGTAGAACATAACTCCTTGGAGGTGTAAGCCTGTCAGAGATTAGGAAAATTAATACTTTTTTTAAAAATAAAAGTTTTGATCTTTGTTTGGGGATGGAGCAGTGGGAGTTGATAGCATCTTGTTATCCTATTTATGACTTAGATTCTAAATGTGGTATTTAGAGACATCTCCGAAATAGATATTCCACCATAGTCATTACTTCTTAACTAACCTTTAGAATTTTGTCTGCCCTTCGACATCTATGTAAGTGTTTTCATTGTGTAGAACTTAGTGGTTTGAATTCTAAATCCCAGCAAAACTTACATATCATTGCATTTTGCCTCAGCCTTTTAAATTTTATAGTGGGTTCTTAATTATCTTGCCTGTTTACACTTAAGAGGTACACACATTCCTGTCATTATGAGTGGCTCACTGTGACACTAATTCTCACCTTATGTGGGAAGAGATGGCATAGGGAGAGGGAGATATGGTTTGGAACAGTTCCATTGTAGCTCAACTCCCAATTTCGGAATCATAGTCCTAAGAAATATCCAGTCAGTTGAACTGTGGTATTTAGGTACTTGGTATTTAAGTAATGACAAATCCATAGCACTTTTTTTTTTTTTAAGCTTAAGTCAGTCTTACTTCAAAAGCATTATTTGTAATTATAGAACATTGAAAAATAAAGATAAGCATAAAATGCATATATTCCCACCACCTACAGAAGACAACTTTTAGTGTCTTAGTAACTCTTCGCACATCTTTATATTTTGACCAAAATAAGATCAGACTTACATGTTATCTTATAAATTGCCATTTTCTTTTAACAGTCTCCATCTTCCCATGTCAATAAATGTTTTCCTCTTTTCATACTCAGACCATATTCAAATGTAACTTGTTCCTACATTTTCTGTAAATGAAAGCTCTAGACTGAAGTCTTTATTAGCTGTTAAGTTCAACAAAATATTTACCCCAAAATGTCCTTTACAGCTAGTTTGTCAAAACCAGCATCTGGTCTGGAGAATATACATTGCATGTGTTTATGTCTCTTAATTCCATTTAATATAGAAGAGTGCTTTTATTTTCATGGCTCTAACTCAAAAGATTACACGGTTTTGGTTTTAAGTACAGGGATGTAGGAAATAATGAATGTTTAAATTTTATTTTGTGTATTTTTATCTAATAGTTCTGTTTTTTGCTTTTGTTTTTTAAATTTATTTTTTATTTCAGCAAAACAAGCTATCAGTCAGGGGAGATCTCCAGTTATAATAGACAACACTAATACACAAGCTTGGGAAATGAAACCATATGTGGAAATGGTAAATATGAGATATGAGAAAGTTTTTATATTATCAATTTTTTCATATTCTGAAATTTTGGTTACATTGATCTTTATTACTAAAACACTTGTCCTTGTTCTCTGAAGAGGTGTGTTCATTTGCTTAGTTTTTTTAAAAATTGGGAATGGTGCTTATTAAGCAATATGTTTATCTTGTTAGTTTTGCCTGGACTTGAGGATAGTAATTGGAATTTGTCCATTAAGTGGTCTTAAAATATTTATAAACTGTATTATTTTAAAAGTAAAACTTTTCTTGGTTGAGCAAATTTAGAAGTATTGTCTAAGTGAAATTTATATCTGTCTGCCATCTTTTTACTTTAAGACGTATTCCCTGGGTTTTTGTTTTCTTCCTTTCTTTTGTGTAGGCCATAGGAAAAGGATACAGAGTAGAGTTTCATGAACCTGAAACTTGGTGGAAATTTGATCCTGAAGAATTAGAAAAGTAAGGCACTCAAAAAATTTGTAATCCCTTATCTTTTTTTTCTTTTTTTTTCTCCTTTACATGGTCAATTTCTTTACTAGCTTTTGCTTGTTATATCTTTGGTACCTGTGAATAGGGACTACTACTACTCACTTTCTGTTAAGAGGAACATTGACTTAAATGCAAGGTGTTTGAGGATCTTTGCACTGTTAAATTTCATTAAATATTCCTTGTTAAGTGTGTTTGTTATTTTTCTTACGTGAATTTCCGCATTGTTTCCCAATTTGTTGAATGCTAATGGAGATCCGGAAAACTGAGAGAAAAGTTAGGACTTTTCCCTCTGCTTTTTAGCTAGGCCACTTCTCTGCATTGCCTTTCCAACTTCATCTCCTTCCCATTTTAGATCCCATCACCCTTTCACCTGGTGCTTTTATCTCTCCCCTTTTCCCATCTTTACTGCTACTGATCCATTATCCCATACCCAAGATTCTGGGAATCAATGTGTTTTGGAATTCAGATTTTTTTTTTTTTTTTAAATTTTAGAAAGGAAGTATATAGTGCATATACCTAATTGTAACACTCCTAGCAGAGTTTGGGGCAGTATGGTATATAATCAGACATCTTAATATTTCTGCAGCAGATCACGAATGGTCAGTCTAAGTAGAAAGGAAAGATTCTACATTGTTTAATGTTAATTCTGAGTAGATCATGCTGCCAAATGAGTACAGGTGTGGTTAGACTTTGCTGCTACATGAGTCAACAGAAAACTGAATTTTTAGAGCATTTTAGATTTCAGGATCTGTGGTGAGAGATTGTGGACTTGTATTACATTCAACCCTGCTCTTCCATTTGTCTTTACCTTCATCCCTTTCCCCTAGTTTTCCTGACTGACTCGTTTTTCTTTCTTCATTTTCACTCGGACACAACCCCCTTTTGGAAACAACTTTAAGATGTAATTCACATACCTTACAATTTACCCATTAAAAGTGTACAATTCAGTGGTTTTCAGTGTATTCACAGAGTTGTATGACCATCACCTCTCTTTGTAAAACCATTTTTTCCTCCCACCTCAGTTTGCCCTCTTCTAGCTTAAAACTGTTATTCTGTGTATGGTGTTCAACTAATTTAATTCTTCCCCCTTGCTTTCATTCCTTTTGTACCTTTGAATTTTTATTCCTTTGGTTACCTTTCCCTTTCTGACTTGCATGCCAGATCAAATTTATGAAGAGTTAAACTGATAAATATTATTAATATCTGGTATTGTTTGCCTGCCTCTGTGTATATTGCACCTCAGGTAGAAGAGAGTTTAAAAACTAAAGATATTTGGGTTATGCTGAATAAATGAATTATTGAAATTGTTATACAGTTAGGCTTTATTTACATTTGAGACTGTTGAAATGTATTACAATTCTTAATATAAATTAACTTTACAAATAAAGTAAGTTTAACTGATATCTAGTATAGTTTGACACATTTTTTTTGTAAAGAATTGGTTGAATCATCAATTTTGACTTCTTGTGGGTTTCTGTAGCTTGGCCAATTTCAACCTTGACCTCAGATCTCTCTTTTTCTCTCTCTTTTTTATTTTTCAATCTTCTATTTTTTCTCTCTCTTGCTTTCTCTTCTCATCTTTAACCTAAACATCAGTAGTTTTGAAAACTAAACATTTCTTTTATGTCTTTTTTTCTGGAAAAATGAGTTAGTTTTAGTAAATCTAGAACTATAACATTAAATATAAAATATGTTCTCTGTGTTTTGCCATGTCCAAGTCAAGTTACAGAAAACTACAAGTATAGAATACATTGTAAAAATTTCTTTGAGGGTCAAGAATAATTTTTAAACCACTTTTTGTTATCATAATTAAACTCACAGAAAAGTACATAAAATATAAATATGTAGCTTAACAAATTTCTTATAAAACAGATATTCATTTAACCATTACCCATGTCATGAGAGCATTACCAACACTTTAGAAGTTTTTTGAGTTCCTTTTCCCAGTAACAATTCCGTAATTCCCTGGTAATTACTTACTTGCTTTTCCTTAAAGCTTTTTTTTTTTTTTAATATCCTTTGCTTTAGCATCATGGTTTAATTTCTTCTCAAACTTTATATAAATAGAATTACAGTATATATTCATTATATCTAGTTTCTTTCACTCAACATTACGTTTGTGAGATATGTACAAATTGTATCTGTAATAATATAGTTTGGTATCAATAATAATTTTTTTTAATAACGCAAGTGTGCTAAAATAACTTTTAAAAGTGATATATATTTTATATTGATTTTTGTCAGTCCTGGAAGCCCACTCAATTCTTCTATAATTTTCAAAACAGTATCTCATAATTTTTTACTCTCTTCTTTAAAAAGAAGGGAAGATTAACTCAGTGGTTCTGTGAATCAGTAGTTAGTTCTGTGTGAAGAAGGTGTAATTAGTTAACATTTTGCTGTGATTTATGGTATCTTTAAGCCTTTTTAAGATATTGTTTAAACCTGAGAGAGCCTTTTTTTTTAATGTGAGGTGTATCTTCTGGTATTTATTTGCAAAATGTAATTTGAAATCTGTACTCTATTACTCTAAAACAGTTTAATCTCTAAGCCTATACATTCTAAAAGAAAAAAGAATTAAAATCCTTTTCTTTTTTGGTAGGAGGAATAAACATGGTGTTTCTCGAAAGAAGATTGCTCAGATGTTGGATCGTTATGAATATCAAATGTCCATCTCTATTGTAATGAATTCAGTGGAACCGCCACACAAAAGCACACAAAGACCTCCTTCACAGGGGAGACAGAGGTGGGGAGGCTCTCTAGGCTCACATAATGAAGTCTGTGTTACAAATAATCATTAAGTTGGTTATTTTCAGCTAACACGTTTGTTGCGTGCCCTTGAAAAAAAAATTAGAGAGCCTGTCTTGAAGTTTAAGTAGTTTCAAATTTAAAAAAAGACTACTTTGCCTCACAAAAGATGTTCCCAGCAAGTTGTTTAAATTCTAAAGTGTAAATAAAAATTATATAAAATTGTATTTTAAATGTTTTTATAATCTTTTGTTGTAATACCTTTGTTTATTATGAAGATACCTGAGTAGAGTGGGTAGGAACCAGAATGTTTTTCTATAATTGAATCTTAAACTAATTTTATCTTTTGTAGATAATGTCAGACAGTTTTATAGTTCATACCGAAATTCAACTTTTCATAAAACTTTAGTATTTTTCCTTGACTATCTTAAATATATAAGAAATACTAACTTGTTACAGGCACCTTAGTTGATTCCTCTATTCATTATACAGGTAAAATTATGTTTCTGCAAATTCATCTGTGTGAAAAAGTGTTTCTAAACTATAACTAGCATATCCCTTATTTAAAACAAAATTCTCTATCAAGTACCACACAGTAAGTGTATCAGTCACCTGGGGTGTTTTCTCCGTAATACACGTTTTCATCACCCTTCTTCTTAAGCCATCTCCTATCTCCCCAAACCCCTGATTCTGGAATGCATAAACAGGGCAATCACTATATAGTTTGCAAAAGCTCTTCAGGCTATTTTGATAGTATATCACTTTTCTCTATTTAAATTAAAACAGTGTAATTCTAATATAAAAAATACTTTAGACAGTTCCTTAGCATTAGTTGTAGGAAGATGTGTCCCATAGGATATTTTACTTCTCCAGGTTTTAGTTTTTCTGTAGAGACAACTGTGTATCTCACTGGATAGTTTTTGTTGGATTGTGTTCTATCACTTAAAATTTTTAAATTGAGATGGGATTCATTTCAGAGATCTTGCAGTTCGTCCTAACTTTGCTTTGATTTGTCCATTTTTAGGAAAAAACGGAGCTAATTACAACTACTTTTAAAAATTTTTATGTTTTACATGATAATAGTTTGTCCTTTAAGTTTTCTTTCTCCTAAACCAGCCCATTCCTAATCCCATAATCTTTCTTTTCTTTTCTTTAATTTTTATTTTGTGTCAGAGTATAGTTGATTAACAATGATGTGTTAGTTACAGGTGTAGAGCAAAGTGGTGAATCCCATAATCTTTCTTCCAATGTTGTTTTAAAACCTTTGGTGTTTTTCAGCTGTAAATGTTCTCTCACATCTTTATATTACTTTTTAACTAATATTAAATTATTAAGTGATATTAAGTTGCAAGACTCAAAGCTAAATATTAGTATTCAGCAAGGTCTTTATTGCATTACCTTTAGTGAGATAAGAATATGATTTCTATTTATTTGTACTAACAGTGCTGTTTACATTTAAATGGGTATTACCATGCTTTATTTTGTGTAACACATATGTATGTTTGTATATATTTGTTCATCCTAACTAAATATGATGTAGTAGGAATATGCTAACTCATGTTTGTGTGTCAGTGTATATATATTTATTTATATCAATACATACACACATTTCCATTATTCACTATTTTCATATATTTTTTGTTTCAGAGTAGTACTTCTTAGTATTTGGGCTTACTTTTCCAAGCATTTTATTATGTAAATTGACATTTTGAAATAGTAAAGGATTTAATTTTGTGACAGGTAGGTATATACTGTGTGTCCCTTTCCCTTTGTCCTTATAAAACTTTACTCAGAAATAATAGTACTGTAAATCTATAGTATTTGAACAGTAGCCAGTTTATTTCGAGGATGTAGAGAATTGCCTTCGGAAGATACAGATTATGAGGAAACATGTTCATGATAGTAAGTCTAAAATAAATTTCCAGATTTTATTACAGATTCAACTTATCCCCTAGTACTTCTGAATAGTAAATAATCATGCAGAGATTGTTAATCATTGCTGATTATTTTTTAAAATTATAAGTGCTTATTGAGGCAGGGAAATTAACATTCTGGAAGACTTTTTTTTTTTTCTTTTTTTGCCGCACTGTGTGGCATGTGGGATCTCAGTTCCCTGATCAGGGATTGAACCCGCGCCCCCTGCCTTGGAAGCATGGAGTCTTAACCAGTGGATCACCAGGGAAGTCCCTAATGTTTTTTTTTTTTTTAAGACAAAGTAAATTAAAAGTTCCCCCAAGTATTGTGGCTAATTTTATTGTATTTTTTGAACAATAACAGAATAGAGGAATGAATATGCAATAAAAGATACCAGAATCACTATTATAAGTCATTGCTTGATGTTAAAAATCTGAAAAAATATGAAATTTACCAAGTCAGGATTTTTCATCAAAATCTTTTCTTCTATTCAGATATATTCTTTTTTTAAATTTAGGTATATTCTTAATGGAATAGTTCCCCCAGCTGCTACCTGCCATTCTGAGTTGGTCTCCATCACAAAGAATAAAATGGGCATTACTCATCATATTCAACTAAGGTGAACATTTTAGTTAAACAGAATATATTGATAGCTTCTAGTTTGATTCAGAAAGATTAACTTGTTTTTTCATAGGCTTTCATAACTTGTTTTTTCATAGCCTTGTTTTTTCATAGGAGAAGTGAAAAATCACTTCTTTTTGATAAGTAAATTTATAGTTTTCTATATGTCATAATACTGCTAATAAAAATATTTGTGTGGTAATTAAGTTGAACTTTTGATACTGCTTTTTACATTGATAATCTTTCAGTATTCACCTTTCTGAAAAAAAATGTTAGCTTTTTAATATTTTAATGTCCGTTTTAAAGTAAGATTGTTTACAAAAGATTGGGTTGTATTTTGTTGGTGGTATGATAGGGTGGATTTAACTATTTGAAGTTTGCTTATCTCTTGCCTAATTAATATAGGTTATGAAATTTTCCAGTTTTATATATTGGTGAGTTTTGAAAGAGTTCATGATTTCAAAGGATATAAAATATTTATTTTGACCATAATTGAGTTTTTGTTATTGTAGAAATGTCTGGTTTTCTGAGCCTGGTTTTCTAAGTATTTATAAAGAAAATTGGTGGTGTTCTCTGAAGAAATGCATTTGTTCATGTATTATATTAGTACTGGGTTGGCCAAAAAGTTCGTTCCGGTTTTTCTGTAAGCTATCCCAGAAAAACCTGAACGAACTTTTTGGCCAACCCAGTACCTTGACCAGATAGGTTTACTAGCCTTTATTGAAGTTTTACGTAGTATTGTAACATGAATGCAATAACTGAGAATTCAGTTATTAGGGCTGGAGTGTTTTTGTGTGTGTTTGTCTGCAACCCATATAAATAGAGTAATGCCTCTTAGTCTGGAATCATAACAAAGTATTACTTAGTTTTGTTACAATGAGCATTCAGAATAAACATTTGGTGGCAGCAGAACAGCAGATCCAGTTAGCTGTTTATAGAGTTAAATTTTGTAGATTACAATTTATAAATAATTTTTTCTCATTACAATTGCTGTAATATTTTCTCATTACAATTTGCTGTAATTTTTGTGAAAGGAGAGGGATTAATGGGTATATTCTTTGGTGATGGTTGTCTTTCTTTACAATTTAAATAAGATTGGCATACCAATTTTTATTTTATTTTTTGAATTAAGGTATTATTAAAACAATTGGTTTCCCTGTATGTATGCCAGATTTTCTCCTTAAAATATCCTTAGGATTGCAGGAAGTAGTATTAAGTTCATTGAAATAGATTCTGAAAGAGGAGTAATTTGGTGATTGTCCTGTGTGTCTTTTTTATTCCTTTTTTTTTTACTTTGCTAAGCAGCATTTAAATAATTCAGTTGATTCAAATTGCCAAGGTCTCAAGTCTAAAAAATACTCAATTTTGCATGGTTTGTAAATTTCAGAGCAAACCTTGAAAAGTTTATAATTATGATTTTTGCAACTAAAATCAGAAAACTTGTAATAGAATGGTTATACTTTACATTCAATATCTTTATGTAGACTGCACTGAATGGCATAATTTTTGTCATAGAATATACGTGTGTGTAAACTCAATTTTGAATGTATCTCCTATGGAAATTCTTAATACATTGTTGCTGTCAAATTATGCACAGGAACAAGGGGAAAGAGTAGCAAAAAAAACTCTGAAAAGAGAGCCTCAAGAGTAAATAGTTATTTTTGAAGCTAGGACTGTGTTTGGAGAGTTTTGACTTTTTGGTATCTTTAATAGAAGTTTATTTTAGTCATTTAAATTAGAAATAATCTTTTTCTTTCCTTTCCTCCTAACAAATTTTGTTAAGCCATACTGTGACCCCTAATCTTAGAACTAGACACAATCACATTAACAAGCAGGTGAATGACTGAAGACTTCATCGGGGAGTGTTGTCTAGTTGTTAATATTCCCATATTGTTTTTTAAATTGGACTGTTTGTAAATTAATGGGAAGATTGAGATATTTTGAGATGACCTATTGGGCTTTTTGCCTCTCAACTTTATTGGTAACTAAGGGGAAAAAAGTTAAAATAGTTAAAATTGTGTTCAAGTTCAGTACAGTCCATTAAAATACACTTTATTTGGATTTTTTTTTTTTTTTGCAGTTTCAACTGTATTCTCAGATAGGACATGTAAAATTAAAGTTGTACCCTACAACTAGTAATTACAATAATCACACAGCTTTGTTAGTGTCTCTTCAGTTGTAATTCTGGACTCTTCAGTTTTTTTAGTATATCAAAATGAAAGAAAATTTGATTTGGGGGAGGTTTGTGGGTTCTTTCTCTTCTTTTATTCTTCTTTCTTTTTTATTCTTTCTTAATAGTATTAGAAATCATGTTGCTTTCTTGTTTCTATCAGTCTTTTCCTGTACATGTTTTCTTTTTCTTATGTGCATTTTCTGTTCAGCTATCCTCATGTTAACTTCATAACATTTTTAATGAAGATGATGGGATGGTAAGTTACTGTCAAAAATGGTGATAACTTTTTTCCCTCCTGTGTTCCACTGAACTCATGTTTCCTTATGAACCTTATTTAATCATGTTAAACTTATAGGTCACAGCTTTGCAGTTTCCTGACCCTGTGGTATAGGTAGAACTTTGATATGAAAATACTTGGAAAGATTTATATAGTTTTTTAGTCTATCAGTGTTACTCATTGGTTAGGAATCCCATAAACATGGCGTAGTACTTGGATGTATGTATTTGAGAAAAAATTCTTTTACAATACTCAGGCCTCATGCTGATAGACTAGTTGATAAATAGTAGTTGGAAATTCACTGTTATGGAATTCACTGTTATGTCATGATTCTCTAATCTGCCATTCTTAAAGAACTGAATGCTTTTGAAGGAAAGCTGATACCTAATTTGAGTTCAGCTTTTACAAGTGATTCTTCATTTCTCCAGTGCTGCTACAATGAGGAATAGGAATTTAACAGCAACAAGCCTTAATTTAATAATACTTATTTAAGTAGCTGCCATTTAGTTAATGCCTGTCAGTGCCAGGCCCTATTCTAAATGTGATTTATTACAGTTTCTAATTTTTTTATAACGACTGTACAGTCTCAATATTTTTATAAAGAGGAAACAAAAACTAACACAGTTTAAGCAATTTATCCTATGAACATAATATCTCTAGGGAGCAATGTTAACTGGGATTCAAATATAGTTCAGACATATTCCTCACCATATCCCATTTTATCTTTTAAACCACATTTTATCTTTGGTTAAGTTATTATTAATTTAGGGTGTTTTTTTTTTTTCAAGGTAGGAAAGAAATTCCAGTGGAGAGTTGAGTGCATCTTTATGGTACCTTTGAATTTATAGGGTTAGAGGTATGTTGACTTACTAGTGAAGCTGAGTGAAGAAATCTGTAAGTGGCCATTTATTTAGAATGTTTAATTGAAGTCAAGATTGAAAGCTAGGATGTCATTTACCGTATAAACGTTTTCTATAAAATATACATTGATAATTGATAATCATATTTCAGCAACATCTTTTCAATTGAAGTTTTACATATGCTGTTGTGCTTTAATGTCTACCTTTTATTTTAATATCTCCTGATTTTAATTAGCACTTGAAATGTGTAGTATTCAGTGAATGGATTGTTAAATTATATAAGCTGTTTGTTTTGATGATTAATTTTGAGACAGTATTTCCTAAACAGATCAACACTATTTGTAAATGGTCTTAGTGTATTTTTCTTTTAATGTCCACTTATTACTTAAGTGTGCTAGCAGTAGCTGTTATGGAAATTACATCAGTTTTCTGATTTTCTGAAGAATTAAGGATTTTTTCCTTTTGTAATAATTAGCATCCTTTCTCTTTTATGTTGTTTAAATTAATTTTCTAAAATTAAAGAACAGTAAAGGAGCCAGTTACTTAAGTTTGCTGTATAAATAAAATATTGAATTAATTTGATTCTGCAAGGAAAACCTTTAAGTACAGAATGAAGAATTCTTACTGTTGACTATTTGCCTTATTTTGTTTTAGTTAACTTAAAAAATAGAAAGGCTGGATCTTGTTTGGTTTTTCATAATTCCTTGAGAAATTAAAATTCCTAGTTTGTGGCTTTTTTCATTATTGTTTCTAAATGTGAAATCAGAGGTGGAATTTTTGTTAGAATGGGGAAGAAATAACATTGATTTCATAAGTAGATTAAGATAGATTTTGGTTCACAAAACTGGAAAGCAGTACGTCATGGGATTGAGATTATTGGAATAGTGTATAATGTAACACTGGCAAAGATGTGGTTAAAATATTTCATTTTGAATATAAGTAAATTGAAGTATTTACAGGAAACGTGTTAGGAGGCCTGGGCTAGACATTTTGAATTAATTAAAAAGTAGTGAGAAAAAGAATTTTTTTTTAATTCTGGGGAATGATAGGAAAGAAATTGTTAAAGCTAGAAGACTAGTGGTCTCAAAAGTGATATTTCTCCCTCCCCATCTTCCCTTTGCTGTGTAAAGACTAGTAGAGCCCAGGTATTACATTAAGAAAGATTATCTTGAACCCTTAAAGGCCATGAAAACATGGTCTTCCTTGTCTTGTGTTTGGAGCTTTGTCCTTTAATGAGTCCATAAATATTGGTTGAATATTAGTCCTAGTCTTCTGAGAATAGTCAACAACCTCTTGAAATTAAGGACCCATTCATCTAAATAGAGCAACTTTATAGGGCAGTTTGTAATTTAGGAAACATGGAAATATAGAGTGTGAATTAGTTGTGTTTGATACTTGCTAGGAGAGAGAGTGTCCAGGCAGAGAGGAAGGCTTATCCATTTAACTTGTTGTAGCTAACACCATCAGAGACTTGTTTTGAGGTTTTTGAACCTCACTAGTAGTCCTTAGAATTGTTGTTTATGATCAAAAAATTAAATATGTTTATGATCAAAAAAAATTTTTTTAATTAAAATAGAATACAAATAAGTAGAGCAACCTTGAGACTTTTGATTTTCTATTTCTTTTAGGGTCATTTAGAGCTTATTTTCTTATTTTTTGCTTTAATACTTCTATTCTTACTCTTAACT